TTTAAGTTGTCACAAAGCTTCCTACATTTACTTCATGTAGGTTTTAGCTACCAATACAAAAAAATAAAAACCTGACACCTCACATGCATATAACATTACTCTTACCTTTTAATTATGTATCTCATTAAAAATTTAACCCATTCTCATTTTCTCATTTAAAATAATGTTCCTTTTGATTTTTGATCAATGTTATTAGATCAAATGAGCCATTGTCAATAAAACTTGATGAAAGGTAAGTTGCTAGCTCTCCCATAAATACAAACATTTTCATCATTTAAGCTAGCCAAACCCATTCATTTATATTTGACATTTCTTCTCACTCTATGAATAATAGAAATATTTTAAATTGGTGTGATATAGGGTCATCTATATAACAAAATTAAGAAAGATCAAAATAGAATTTTCAGTTACCCAAACGCTGTTAAATAAACATCAGAATATGAAGAAAAATACACATATGGCCAATTAACTCCTATAATTGAGTGTTTAATATATTTTAATTTATATTTAGAAAAAGCCCTTAAAGAGGTTTGCAGTTTTGTTTCCTAAAAACCAAACTGAAAACCTATATACACACATTTTTTCAGACTTAATTTGTGCAAAAATTATAACATATAGCTAAATTTGTATCTCCAATAGAAATTCTTAAGGGTTAGCTTCTTAGGTAAATTCTTGAATCCTATTTGTTTATAATTTGCTTTGTGAATTTTTAACATGTGAATTTCTTTCATGAAAAGCTTGACCCTATACTTGCATTCAAATAATGGCCATTGCTAGAGAAGACTTAGTTCAGGTATCATATCACTCTAGCATTCTCCTGTAATGCAGAGCCAGATTTTTAATGTGTTCATATCATTGCTAAGGAAATCCCCACACTACTTTTACATTTATGAAAATAAAAGATCTCATCACCACACAATGGACTGCAAAGAAAGAGCAAGTCTTTTATTCTTACAGGTCCCTTTATAGTATCTGAGGTTATTGGAGCAAAGACTGCTTAGGGCAATAGAAAAGTAGGCCATGCTTAGAACCAGCAAGTTTATTCATGTCCCTTTATGTTCAATGGAATACCACTTTCAGTAATAAAATTCTCATCCTATGTGTTTATACTCAAAATCATGAAATTACAATGACTAAAGAAATCAGACCCCAACTGTTCACCTTTGTGATTTTAAAATGTACTTCTATGTGTTTAAACCAATAAAACTAACCCAAACAGTATAGTCTAGGATGATTTTTGACTTAACTATGCTTTGCTATTTAGGGAGACATTTTTTCAGAAATTCATTTATAATACAGAAAAATTCAGTACAAATGCCTATTACGAATGAACCAATAGGGATTGGGAAGTTAGCTCAGTGGTAGAGTGCTTGCCTTACATACATGAGGCCGTGAGATCGAGTCCTCAGCACCACGTGGCAGAAAAAAGCCAGAAGTGGTACTGTGGCTCAAGTGGTAGTTCCCTAACCTTGAGCTGAAGAGCTGAGGGACAGCCTCCAGGCCCAGAGTTCAGGCCTCCACAACCAAAAAAAAAAAAAAAAAATATATATATATATATATATATATATATATATATATATATATATGAACCTATGATTTAGAAACCCCACTGAAATAACATGAGTCTTGCTTGAAACCCCCCAAATTCTTTGTTATGTATATCATTCTTTCAGATATGTTCACTCCTTCTATTACTTAAACTGCTTCTTCACTTCCAGGTAGGCACAGTGGACTTATCAGTCAAGATGATGAAATCTGTGTCAGCATGGGCAAGGAAAAGTCCCTGAGACTCTTATCTCCAATTAACCACCAAGGAAAACTATACGTGGAGCTGTACCTCAAGTGACAAAGAGTGCTAGCCTTGAGAAAAACAGCTCAGGGAACAGTGTCCAGGCCCTGGGTTCAAGCCTAGACTAGCACAACTTTTTAAATTAATTAATTACAACACACACACATACACACAACTTTGCAGCAGAGAAAACCACAAAATATAAGAGCTGTAGTTCCAACCAGAAACATAATTGCTTATCAAATATACAGGATGAGGCTACTATGCCTTATCATGCCATGTAATCGTGGTCCAAAGCATACAGATGAGGAGTGAAAGGATTTACAACTTGAGCAATATGATGTAGTACTGGATATAATCCAAAGGTAAATATCTGAGTACATAGTGATATAAATAATTGAATAAATAAACAAATAGAATGAAAAGAAAATCCCAGTAAGGGAAATATAATTTATGACTCCTTAACAGTGAGCTGCACACAGTAACTTTCTTCAAAAGAGTAAAAGATTTAAAGTGAGAAATGAAAATAGTAACTTCATTGCTGAGAAAACATCTACTTCCTCTTCTAGTGATAAAGTCAACATCAAGAACGATGTTAGATTGATTGTATGTACCCTTTGTAAAAAGAGAAGAATGGTAGATGGCTACTTTTCTTCTGACATCTTCCTCTTGAGTCCATAATAACTTCACTGATCAATTAGGAAAAATAAACACATACTGACAGTAGGAATTCTGGAACAAACCTGACCAGTACCTTAAGCCATATAGACCATCAAAACAAGGAAACTTTAAAAAACTTGCAGCCAGGAGATTCTACAAATACATGTCATTTCCACAGTAAACGAAAACTAGAAGCATATGAATAAATGTGGGCTTAACGAAATTCTTCTCAGTCTGATGAACACAAGACTATAAGATGTTAATTACAGGTATATTTGGGATTGGAGCATATAGAATCATTCCATAACACTATTATGATTTTTATAAATAATGGCCTTAAAATGGTTTATTTTTAAAATATCAGCATTCTCCTTTCAAAATACACATACTCACACTCTTTTGTGAGGAAGAAGGAGGATGGGAAGAGTTCCTGAGCACTAAGTGGAAGGGTGTGAAGGGCATAATTATAAAAGCAGCATTCATATAAAAGATAATTATCAACTCAGTAGTTCCCTAAACTGTGTTGAATGGTCATAGTCATGCTGTGAATTTTTAAGACTGAAGATGGTTCATTGCTAAAAGCTGTCATTTCCTACTTTCTCTCACTGGGTGGTGGTCACCAAATAAGGAGAAGGGCACTTAGAAATTCTAAATAGGTTGCTAAACAGATACTGTGCTAGCCTCTATTCCTGTTCACATCCCTGCAGACCCTGATGTTTCCCCTGCTCCTTTGTGGATCGTATATTTCGTCCAGAGTTTGATGACACCAGATGTCTTGGGACCAATAATTGACCCAGTAGAGATGGGGGGACATAAGCAGAATCCTTAGCTAGTGAAGTCGAACAACTTGCATGACCTGAGAGGAACCCCTCAGCAGTGGCTGGGTTAGATTATTAAAATAACCCTGAGTTATCATCTGTGTCTTAATTATGGTTATTCTGCATAAATGTGCAGCAAAAGAGGACAAGATGTAGAAAGGGACTTATTTGTGTATTGCATGTACATAATAGATAAAAATGTTTTAAAGAATAAAGAATTTTATACATCCAATTAAATTTCAAAGTAGCAATGTGGAAGCAATCAAAATATACAAATACCATAAAGGTAGAAATAAATTGAACAAGCTAGCCAATAGTATGTATGTATATATATATATATATATATATATATGTATTAGATAGTTATATATTAGATATTCTTAGACCTCTGAAAACATATATATATATATATATATAATATAGAATTGTATTATGTAATGTGATAAATTAACATATAACTATTAAATATGTATCTCTGTATAATCTACCATCAAACATTAATAAAATACCATTAATTCTGTCATTGGTATAGTTAGTAATATATTATAAGTAAAATACCGCATAATTTTTGTTAAAATTTTTACATTACATCTTGGTGAAGATGATGAATTAGAAGCTCCCCTCCACCCCTACCACTGCTGTCAAACAAATTTCCAGCATTAGTTAGAATACAAGTACTGTCAATGTAAACACTAAAAATATATTTACCAGCCAATTTTTCTCATAGGTCTACCACAAGTTTTGGAGTAGTAGGCCACATACAAAGAGGGAGGTCCACCCTGGAGGACTTTTGAAAGAAGTCTGGCATATATTGTGTGTGAAGTCCAAGGAAGAAATGAGGCAATGAGAACAATGGAAGAGCGTGGCTGGGTTGGGATAAGACTGAAAGGGACATTAGGGCATTTTCTGGAGCACTGTGTGCTGTGACTCAGTGCAGATGGTGGTGATGCAAACACTTACAGCTGCCATTCTCACCAAGGTAAAACATAAGATCTAATATTGTTCCAACTATAACATATACTTCTAAAATGAATAAGAATGATCAATGTTTCTCTATTTAAAAAAAACGTTCTAAAACATTGAGTGAAAATTCTAGTTAGGTGCACAGAGCCACACAACTCATATTCATCCTCTCAAAGTCACCAAACCTCATCTTCTTGTTAGTCAACTCGTTCTTTGTAACTCCAATAAATGTGGCTTTAAAGGATCGTTAGTGCATTTTAGAACTGTATCAAGATCATCTCTACCCTTGGGTCTCGGCAAACTGAAAACATTTTAGAGAAAACATTTCCTACAAACACTTCAAAACGCCATTTCAATATCTCCATGTTCTATGTAAAGCAAGCTACTAACCAGGCCTCCAATGGTGCAAAAGGTGATATATAAATTTTTCTTAGAGTCTCTTTGCCACATGACTAAAACTTAGTGGCATCATATCAATTGATTAATTCAGTTATTGATAATTGTCTTGAATGGCTGTTTACTAGATGGTACCTGGTTAAACGTTTTTGTATTTTTCCTCTCACTTAGTTTTTCCAGTTAGTCCATATTTACCATTTTTATTCCTATTCAACAGAAATCTGTCTTAGAGAAATTAAATATTTTTTCCAAAACCACACAGCAAGCACCAGAAATCAAAGGGTCATTTTCTGTGCAATTAATTTCTTTGCATTTAAGTCCTGTAGTACTGTACAGTGTCACTTAGATTACATTTTTAATCCAAGTACATTTAAAAAAGAAAGCCAGTCAGTTATTTAGAAGCACAAATGTAGGGGTAGTAAGAGCATGGTCTCAGGAACCAAATGCTCCAGGTATAAATTTCAGCTTTGTGCCCTGGATTAAGTAAATTTAATCTATTTTTGCTTTAAACTTTTAATCTACAAAATAGGGCTAGCCATGCCATAATAGTATTGAGAAGATAAATATATGTATACGTACAGAATGAAAACAACTGCCTGGCATACATACAAAGACTATAACTACTATTTTATTTTATTTGAAAAAAGTGAAGTATATTTTCTGATTAAAATGTTCATTTGAATATCTTTCTGTAGAAGGTTTTATTTTTGTATCCTTTGTGTGTAATGGCTACAGGATTCTGTTTTAAGCATGAGCTCCTCTGTGGAACTTGCCTAAAGATCTGTGAAGTTTCAGAGACATATTGTCAAGTTTCTATATAAATCTTTACTTTCTGTCCTATTATTTCCCTTCCACAGTTCTCTTCTCGATTTGTTCATGGTCATATGAGTGTACATATTTAGAGACTATAATTCTATACTCTGTAATTTGTTTCTCATGTGACCTTGAAGAAATTATTCCTCCTTGTGGGTATCAGATTTTATTATTGTAAACCTGGGCCATACTTCCAATTCAACTCATTAAACTGTTGTAGACATTGCCTAATTAATGAAGTAACAGTGCTTCAAAAAGCCAAATGTCTTATATATTTCTCAAGTTTCTTAAGAATAATCATTAAAAACTAATGTCACTACCTCTGGAACCTCAGCAGCCAACCTGAAAAGCCTGTATATAATATATATATATATATATATATATATATATATATATATATATATGTACTATATATATATATATATATAGCACATATATATATATATATATATATATGTACTATTTTTGTTTCGGTCATTATTTTTCTCAAATTGTGATGTACTAAAAAGGAAAAAAATACTACACACTTTATTTTCCCTGCATAAATGTCTACTTTGCAAACAAAAAAATTCTTGTTATCAAAAGTTAACTATGAGGGGGCCAATGATGGCTCATACTTATAATCCTACGTACTAAGGACTCTAAGATCTGAAGGTAATGGTTCAAAGATAGCCTGGGTAGAAAACTCTGTGAAGCTGTCTCCAACAGCCAGCAAAATGTTGGATTGGTGGTGTGGCTCAAGCAGCAGAGTGCCTACTGTGAGGGGAAGAAGCTGAGTCAGAACATAAGGCCTTGAGTCCAAGGCCTGTACCTGAACAACCCCCACCCCCAGCCCCCTGCCCAGCACACACACCTTCAATAAGTTGACAATTTATTGTGACTTTACATATGGATGGCAAATACATGGTTTTGTTTTTATTTTCCTGAAAAGATAGTGTAGAAGTATATTTCTTTGGTGTCCAATTATTGAATAATGAGTTGCTAAGTATTGGAATTCTGTTCTGACTTGTTTTGTTTTATTGGCTCACAACAATTCTCTCCCAGTAACAGAGATGGGTTTGTGCTGGATCATACATCATATTGTTTTAGTTTTATGTATCACAATTTGCATGGACTACACTAGGGATATTATGGGATATTATGAAAGATACACTATTGGTTAGAAAATCATGTTACCACTGCTACTTCCATCAGAACATGCAAAAGGTGAATACAAAAAGGCTTACAAATATTTTTGCCATCTGAATGGTCACAGTGCACTAGAGTATTCAAAGGCCATTAATTCACCCATGCAATTTTTAGTGAATTGCATTACACTTGGAAAGATTTTTCTAGATTTTTGGAAACACAGAAGTAAACAGACTGTATTTGATGTTAATATAATTTGGGGAGGGGAAGGGAAAAAACAAATTGTTTAAATAGGGATACAGATGGACCCATTGCAACAATGAAATGTACAAGATGCTATGTCGAAAAGTGAACTTTACAACGTTGGGGGGTGGGGAGTTGGGAAGGCAGGAATGGGAAGGTGAAATAAAGGAGGAGGCAAAAATGCTTGATAAGAAATGTACTTATTACCTTGCTCATGTAATTGTAACCCCTCTGTACAGTATTTTCACAATAAAAAAACTTATTAATAAAAAAAGAAACAATCAGACATTTCTGCTTTGGTAAGTTTGTAAGCTAATGTGGACTGGAACATTCTGCGCGCGCGCGCACACACACACACACACACACACACACACACATACATTATAAATACAATTGACTTGGTTTAACTCAGTATAGCCTAAATTACTATACACATTGAAATTACTATATATATTGAAACTATATATATTGAAACTTCAAAAAAGAGAATTTTGAAGATGGCAATGGTTAAAAAACTATATCCTTCTAATCTGAGCCTTTATCATACTTAATATTTCAAATACAAAGATTCCTAATACACACTATGCATGGGCATCACACATTGTTTGTGAATTTTGAGTTGTCACATGACCTCTCAAAGGATTTCAGGTTGTTACATTTAAGATTAATGAGGCATTGGATAGCCATTAAGAAGCTATTTGAGAATATGCATTTAATTAAAATGAATTATGTATATGAGATAATACCATTCAACCTTTTTCATTTAGAGAGATAAATCATGGCTATTTCACTCCTGAGAGGGGTCCTAACACTGGAAAATTGAATATTGATGTTACAATGCCCAAATAATTAATGCGTCAGCTTCATCCATAATGGGTATATCCTGAGACTTTGCCTACCAAAGAAAATTAAGTGTTTCTTTTTTATTTGACTGTGTGTATGCACTTGCACATGTAATGAGATACAAAAAGTAGTGCAGCAGCTCTTACACATAGTCTCCGAATACTAAGCAACTGGTAACATCAATTCTCAAAAAAATACTGACCAGCCATAGCTTTAACTTATTCATCAGTGTTAGTGACTCTGTATGAATGCTTTCTTTAAACACAAATGAGATTCATATGCAACATGCTTACCAGCTATTGACTTAGTAATAATTTCAGTGTTTTTTTCTGCTCAGAGGAAATAATGCCAATAATTTAATTCTAATAAGTTTGCATTCAGGATTATGTCATATTTCAAATGACTACCCAGTATTCTAATGGACAGAATCTCTTTTTTATATGGAGTATGCCAATAGGTGCATGTCTATGTATGATGCGTTTAATAGAGCTAACGCTTAGGGACCAACTTATTACTTAGAGACTACTGTTGCTCTACTTTTATAGATGAGGAAAGTCAGAATTAAGACGTTAAAAAATTGACCAAGACCATCAAAATAGCATTCCTGAATCTCACGTCTTACAATCAGATGCTCAAGAAAACAGAAGGTTTTACTGCATTAGTGTGTCAGATGTATGGGATATCACAGTGTTTTAAAGTCAAAGGAACAGGGAGTCCATCTCTTTTGTTGGCTTCTTATTCATGCTCAGCAAAATTTGTCATCTCATGATTATCATCAATAACAGATTCATTCTGTTTCAGGTTAATTCTGTTTGCTCACAAAATCTAATTAGAAACCGTATAAGCTTTTTGTCTTACCATAGGTAAGTACACCTAAACCTCTTGAAATAGACATGCATACAAACACTTTAGAAATATGCACAGTAGGAATTGTAATATGAAGAAAGATATGCAACTTCAAACAGTGTCCAAGGTCTTTATATAGATAGAATTCTTTCCTACGGGGAAGAAACAAACAGAAGTAATATTTAATTAGAATTTTCCTTTTGGAAATGGAAAGAATCTATTAGTTACCCAGAGGGAATTGGTGAAATGTCAAGACAAATGTGATTACAGTTCCCTAAAATCATTTCATTTGTTTTTCATTCACAGCCATCACAACTGCAGCCATCTGACTTCAAGCTTAAAAATAACCTTAAAAGGCTCATATCACCTGGTTTATGCTGTACCTTCACAGCAGCTTAATCAATATACCAGTGCAAGCTGAGAACAATTATAATAAAACACCTTAAGAATGATCCACTATTAAAAGGTAGAAGAAAAGTAAACTTCAGTTTAGATAAACCAGCCCATCACTCAGTTTGATAAAGTTCACTTGAATTGTTCTGACATCTTCTCACATATATCACCAGGAAGATCTCTTGGATTGATCTGAATTAACTGGGGGTTATACAAGAATAAAGAATTCGAAGCATCTTGTCATATGTCCTGGAATACAACTGATAGCCTAACAACTTCCCGTGGTAATTTCACACTGAAGTTTGCCACCAAAAAGGAATGTCACAACAACTTTAACAGGGTTGTTTGAAAAATATTTCTGAATTATGACAGTTCTTCATATGAATACAGGAACTGCCAAGGACATCCTAACAATCCATTTAACAGTCTATGATTATCTTTAATGTACTACGCAATCCAACAGCAAACACTTTGTTAGTATTTTATGATGATCTCCCCTATACTGAATTTGAAGTATTAGTGAAAAAGGGGGAACCAACCATACAGATCAGCACAAACCAAATTTACTCACTGCCTTAAGTGTGTAACTGTAACCCCTCTATACATCACCTTGACAATAAAATAAAATTTAAAAAAAGAAATTGAAAGTGTAAAACAGGAGTGTCTAAAACCTCTGACCTTTATGATTTGAAATCTAATACAATTCAAGAAGGAAATATGTAAGGAAAATATGTAAAAAAATTAAGGTATATGAAGCACTCAGGAAAAAAGGTTTAAATGACAGAATTTAAAATGCTTAATTCCAACTAAGCAATGCTCTACATTCCAGTGGCAAGAAGAGACAAAAGGGAAAAAAGCTGGAAAATATTACATTATTTCAAAACAAGTGTTGGAGAGCTCACTTGTTTTCAATTACTTTTGCTGGTATAGGTAGGCATACATCTGTTAATGGGTTTGGTGAAGGAAGCACAGGAGTGTGAGAAGCATAACAAGATAAGACACACATGGTGGTACTTCTCCAACATTTTAGTTCTTCTTGCATCTATTCATCAGGCCTAGAAGAGTTAAGCAAAGGTCACTTCTATGGCTGTACTTTCAAGCAGTAGTTGGTGTATATTTATACTGTTCCTTAGCATAGATACATTTTCTCCCCTGATTATTTCCTTAGGTTGGGTATAGTATGTACAAGAGATGATGTTACTAGGACCTAGTTTCTAGGACCAAGAGAACAAATTTGATTGGAATGTAGATGCATACAACATAGTTAGTCTGTATGAAAATTTCATGGAAATATTGTAGCTAGAAGACATTCTTTGTAGAAATTGTATCTGTAGAAATAGTCCATAAATCATAATTCACTTGGTCTATGGCTATAAATCATTATTGCTGATAGTTGCCTGGCCATATAGGAGTTCTAATTTCCTCAATTATTATGATAGCTGAATCCAAGTATATAGAATAAAGTCTGGGAACATATGAATGTAGAAATATTCCTGGGCCACTAGCAAATAAGTGGATTTTTAAAATACAGAAACAATGTAAGTTTTGAATAGTTAATTTATTAATTATAAAATGTTGTTCTTGCTATAAAAATATGAAGTTGGAAATAAAATAAATTATAGTAGCCACTTTTATAGACATTTTTCATGGTATTTTTAACAGGCCTGCCCTAAACCTGGTTGCAGGTTTCTCATTTACAGTTTACTGGATGTCTTAGTCTATTTTATGAAGTGATACCAGAATACTATCGACTGTGTGGTTTATAATTATTGTAGTTTATTTCTGATTGTTCTGGAGACTGAGAGGTCCTAGATGAAGGAACTCCCATCATGGCCTTCTTGCTGGATCATGACATAACAAATGCAGAAGTATAGGCATATGAGAGAAGGGGAACTGAGATTATATTGTTTCTTCACCTCTACCATAATGAGTGTTCACCCTCAATAATGAAATTAAGTACTTCTACTTAGGCCCCATCTCCTAGGACTATTGCACTAGGGATTAAATATCCAATACATGCTTTCATAGGAAACTCTTTCAAAACAAAACAATTATATTAACTACAAAAAATAAATGCTGCTTTACATTTATGGTGTTTTGAATCACTTAAACTGGGTCCAAGAAGACTACTTGGAAGAGTAAGAGTAATCTGAATAAATTTCCCATTGCTAGACATAGGATCAGTTCTTCCATTATGCCTCTCATTAGCCTTGTCTTGAAATTAAATTTTGGTTAAACATTCTTGACAGTATGTTGACTACCCCCATAGGTTGATCACAAACTACTCAAGCCAGGGAATTCTGCTTTTGAAAAGTTGCCAAAGTTTAAGCACATTGGTTCCAAATGCCTAAATAGACAAGCATAAGAGTCAAAATTGACAATTCAAGGTTCTCTCCTGGATTCCTCTTAGCCATATTAAATTTTTATGGTCTCATTGGAGAGTAGGACCAGTTAGGTTTTATCTCCTTTCCTCAAAGGTGTTCTAGATTGTCAGCATAACTGGGTTAATTTGAAGTAATTGCCTAGAGAAATAATTCTTCTTACATAAATAACATAAACTAGAATGATCTCATAGTTTTGAATTGAGAAATGTAAAGGCAGCAGGGAAGAGCTATATAGAAACAAAGAAAAAAAGAAATGTTCCTTTTACGATTGTGTATAGAAAGGGGCATGAATTATATAAAGCATATTGAACATTCAAGAAATATCAAAATCAACTATCTTACATAGCTCCACTTCTGTATCACTGATAACATTAAGTGAGCCCACTATTTTCCAAGCTGATTAATACATATATTGTCAGGACCACTTGTAGTTATTTTTGTGGGAATTGTTGGACAAATTAAAATAACATTGCATTTGCTGTCAAAGAAATGATAACAAAATACCTTCCACAGAGAAAAATAAGATGATGCATTTAAAAAGACTTAGAAAGTGCCCAGGCATGAAAATGAGGACTCAAAATATTTTCATCTATTGTCTCAATCTTTATTACATTGCTTTGGAATTTGTGGTTGGGAATGTTCTGAACTGACGAAGGTCTAACTGGCTTAGAACTAATTCTTAGAGAATACTTGAAGAATATGGTTTTAATACTTCCACCTATTGGCTAGATTAGGAGAGAATTATTCACTGGTACCTCATGTTTCTGCTTGTCAAAATAGACACTAATGGTTTCTATTCATCACTTCTTTTGTAAGAAAATTAATTAAAATTATACAATATGAAGTAGAGTCTCCTAGTTCAGAGACGTATGTTTCTTGCCTACCATATTCCACTCTTCAGGAGAAACACTAGGCAGGCTTTCAGTCAATCCTTGTACAGGATCAAGGTTTCCTTAGCTCAGGGAGGCTTGGCTCTGTTGCACATAAGCAGCATGTACAGCTTCTGCCTATTTCACATTGCTCCCATGTGATTCAGAGGACAGAGGGAAATGATGGCAATGTGGAATTCATGTTAAAATATTACTCATCCATAAATGAAAATGAAAATATGTCATTTTGAGGAAAACATGATAGAGTAGGATATCATCATATGGAGTTAGATAAGTCACACTCCAAAAGCCAAATATTTCCTGACCCCACTCATTTGCATATTGAAGATATAAAATGATCTTGATGATGATGATGACAATGATGACAATTGCTATGATAACAAAAGTGGCGTAATATTAAGTGGGAGTATTTAGAGGGAAAACTGGCAAGGAATGGGGAGATGAGATTAAGACATGATAAACTGATGAACTCTGGGCCTGGGTGCTTTCCTGAGCTCTTCAGTCTTCAGCTCAAGCAAGAATCTACCACTTGAGCCACAGCGCCACTTTCAGCTTTTTCTGTTTACATGGTGCTGAGGAATTGAACCCAGGGCCTCATGCATGCAAGGCAAGCACTC